TCAAACCACAACACATTGGTAAATAATCCATGAAATAGTTTGTCTGGACACATTCAGGTTCCTCTCATTGTCACCTTAAAGCCGTGAAAATTTGGTGTTAATCCGACGACAATAAGTATACGTTATTTTTTGTTAAAGACCTTGTATTTTGAAAAACATAAACTCCTAGAAAACGTTGATGAAGTCACAGCAAAGATTTTCAAACTTGTTTATCTGCATAAGCGATTCGTTTTCCCATCAAGGTCTGTTTTAACACGTGTAGGAGCGCCCAAATGTGTAAGGCTATTGGAAACCAAAAAAATAAAGGAATGGGATAGCTATAGTTCAATAAAATCGGCAGATGAAAACACCAAAATCAATGATTTTTTTCAGTGGCTGTGTGACCTTGTGTCTGACACATTCATATGCAAATGACTAATCTGTGAAATAAACAGGGGCAGAGACAAACCACTCAAATGTTTGGAAACACTAATTGTGTGTCATAGAGCTACTGATAACACATCCTAACATTGCTTTGTCTTGAGTTAATCTTTGAAACTTATAGGCACACAGATTAAACCTGTGTTGTTGATTTTGGAAAACACTACTGAAGCTTCATTGCTTCCCTTCAGAAAATCTACATTTTAACTAACTTACATGACATTCAAGTTCACGTTGACTTTATCAGATGAAAGTTTATAGTGCATTTCATCAATTAATAAATAAATGTGAAAATCGTAATTTTCAACACAAATAATAGTCTCGCTACCTTAAGTATTCAAAACATTCAATTTTTTAATGTTCTTTCCCAGTGTACAACATCTGTTTCTTTATTATGTTTGTCATTGTTAATTGATAACTGTTAGGTTATTATGACTCTCTGGCGCAATGTTATATAATGCAGGTAGTGCTATGGCTTAGAATTGACAGATTATTTACATTGTGGAAGGGTTTCATTGAGTGAAAATCAGGAGGCAAAATAGCCATAGCTAAAATGTGTGTTTATGAATTTAAAATAGAAATTTAGCTTAAAAGAGAACAGTCTGTCTGTGAAATTAAATTACTTATGCCAACTGATGCATAGAGACATACTCATTAAAATATCATGTACCGGTAACTATTTCAAAGTGTTTAACAGTAATTGCCTTGTCTGCATGGCTGCACCACAATTCAGACACTAATATACCACTATTGGTCATTCATTTATGTAAATCCACACGTGTTTTTTTGTCCTTATACAGACTGTAAATCACTATAGTAATAGTCATATGTAGAGTGTACTTGCTACAGATAACTGTATATAACTTGTAAACGGACATTGTAATAATCATGGACATTGTACCTGTACATATATACCGGTAACTGTGGCACACTTTTGTAAAATCAGACCTTACATCTTGGCTAAGACTGTGTCGCTTCAGTGATGATGCAATGAATTCTCCCTACACTAAATATAGTAATGTACATCACAGTCCCTCAGAGGGACTGTGTGTACATATATTGAAAAAGTTGGCCAAATGTTGGGTTTATAAAGCCCTAACATCAAGTTCAGATAATATTAACAACTAAGATAATGCAGATTCCAATGAAAGTTCTCGGCTAAAACATGCATTTATATGAAACATCATTTCTATTATCATATGGTTACATTGAATTATCCATGAGCATATGACAAAACTTACAATAGAACTTTTGTATTTATATACTAGGTAAATAATCTCTGTTCAGTACTGTACACAGGACTTGGAAACTGCTTGATAAATCTTTCAATTTCATCGTTTGTGTTGCGCTATGTACTAGTAGTAGTAGTCAGAAATTAAAATAATTTACAAAATTCATTCCCACAACAAGGTTTAGTATGTAAACCAATGGTCACAAGTTGGAATTTTCTATACTCACTACATTTTCAAGACACTTCGCAATCCTGAATAACAATTTAGTGAAAACACCAGCATTTTTCAACACAAGTAAATGTACATACCCGGTACATGTACAAATGTATGCAAGCTAGGCTTATCACATTATAAGAACTTTGATTTTACATGTGGTAAATGTTTTGAGATAATATTGAAATATTTCATACACACTCAATGAAATCATTTCTCTTAACTGAGCATAAATACAGCATGTACCGTGTAATACATTCTACACACAATAATGGTAATATACCAGCTGTTAACATTAATCCTAATTCAAGAATTATCACAGTTTGTTGTCATAACAATATTATTAATGGATCAGTGGTTTACATACATCATCATAATTTACGAATGAATGTACTAAGATCATAACATAACTATTTATTCAACTGATGTTTCCATGGCAACATAATTCACTGTTAATATTCCAATAAATCCTAGGATTATTCTGTAATTCACAGCCCCCCTCCCTTATGTCAATTTTTGCATTAATTAATGAATTAATCAACTGCTTTTTTTTTCATATTTTTAAATACTACCGCTAAACTAAATTTGTGTCATGTGACATCATGCATATATATTTGAGATAGCAACACAAAAATAACTGGAAAAGTATTTTTTTTGATCATCCAAAACCAGAAATGAAATTTGTTGAAGATTCCATGTGTGATTTAATTGCAAGAATGAATCTGTTGCTTGATGGTGACATTGAAACAAACCCAGGTTATGTTAATATACAAAGACTTGATTTAATAACATATCAAGTCAGGTCACCCATAGGTCAAATTTATGATCTGGAGCAAGTAAATAGATGGCAAATAGTCTTGTTGCACTTGTGTACTCAGGTTTCGAGACACGTGTCGATTGAAGTCTTCAGTTATCAGCACATACTAGATTATAGTATGAAAAATTACTTAAAAGTTGTACCCACATATAGCACAAACAGGTAGACTATCCTCAGAGAGTCAGATTACAATTTCACTACCAATCTACAAATTTCAGATTTAAAAGTTAAAGCTATGTATGCATATAATAGTATCATGTAGTTCTTTTATATTATGAGTATTTTAAAATCCAAATGACAGGGACTGTGACATTAATGTCTTGTTTCAAATTATATTATTAAATTATAGTGATACACCAACAAATACTGCTTGATTTTTCAATCAAAATTTTAAGTGACATTTCCAATTAATAGAATCACAATTTACCATAATTACTGTCAACATAATTCACTATGGAATCATAAAATAATATCAATACTATTGCATTAACAGCAACATGTACACACATGTAAAGTTTCATTCAAAAGCTCAATCATCGTACAATAGACTTTTTTTTATTTGATGACCGATCAGTCAGTGACAATTCAAAGTAAACTGATAAATACGCAGACAATGTACTTTACCTTTTAGACGATACAGCTACTAGCAGACAAATAGACCAGAAGATAATGCTACCTACAACCCCAAGGCCCTGCCCTTAACTCAAACAATGACCTCTATTTGTACACAACACCATCCATTTGATAAGCTATAACGTGGTGATACTGCACGCAAGCGATTTAAAATATAACTAGGAGTACCGGTAATTATTCTATTTATTAAAACAACTTCAGTGGAATATAACGCAACATTAAATAGATTAATACCTAGATAACCATGGAAACTATATTAAATTTGAAAAAATAAAAAAAACGTATGTCAGAGATGTCTGTGCCATTCACAGAGTGGCACATTTAAAGTTAAATATTAGCCAACCATATTTCTCATTTACTGACCAAAATACAGGCAGTGCATTTGGAGAAAAGTGATAAATTATTTTCTGCTACATATTTTTTGATTAACTTGCAATACTGACTCTGATTGTCTCAATAAACACCAACCTAACTGGCTAGCCAATCAGAAAACACCAACCTAACTGGCTAGCCAATCAGAAAACATGTTAATAACAGGCTGAGTGAATTAGAAGTGACTTTACAAGATTGTCTGTGATTTGTTCAACACACCCTGTAATCTACTGACTAGCCAATCAAGAAAACCTTCACTTGTTATGTGTTATTCAGACATCTTACCTGTATATTCAAAACACTAGGTATCTTTGCTATATGTTGTTGTATTGTGTTGACACATGACTGACATGTCATACCCTCTACACCAATCACACACCACTTACTGTCCATTCTGGAGGAAGTTGTTAGATCAGTCTAATTAAATTCTGAAAAATACAAAAGACATTTACATTTAGAAACACTTTCAATATTCCGGTCAATTAAACCATACACAAAAAATCAGCAAGGCAGAAACTATGTTTACTACCTTATAAAAAATATGTTTGGATATTTAGAGTACTAACACATTTCCACTTTTGGTTCGATTTAAAATACACGAATATTCACTTTTGAGATATAATGTGTATATAATATAATGTGTTGATTCTTGGATATTTTATCTTCGTCGTCCTGTACTTCGTTTAGTAATTCAAACTTCCCAGTTTACATAAAAAAAGGTGAGTTTCGCAATTTCGACATGGAAAATCGAAAAGTTTATAACAGTTATTAGAGTACATCAAATTAGTTTTTCAGGAAACACCCCCTGGGATCTGCAATTTATAGAATAAACGCAGTATATTTATATGTAATAATTAAACTACGAAATTAATTATAGTTGGTCAGCATTCAGAATTCTGGTTTCCGTAATAACAGGTACATAAACAATGTCTGATATAAACTGTTGATTTACATGTACACAGTATGCTAGCATATTTAACCTTGGCTTTCTCATGATAACTACCAGGTGCAGCAAAGAGGTTGGTGTTTTGATGATGATTATGATCAGATCATGGTTATAAAAATATGCTAACCAATAATACCATAAACAGTTTATAGGTGTATTTGCTATATTATTAATGCATGCATTTATGTAATTAACGAAGCTACGCGAGTCTATGGTCAAAATAAATCATATTTTAATGATCAAGCACACAATAGTATCACTGTCATCAGTATTTTGATTTTTCCTTTACATGTACATCAACACATTTTAATAGGCAGAGTTTTGAAAGCAAGAAAAGTTAGTTTTTAAGCCAGTCTAAAGCTAGTGAAATGTTATGCTTGGATTGTACTGTATGTCTTACACTGAAACCACACAAACTCATACAGGTACTAAATGACCTGTTAGCATAATGTTCAATAAATGGCAGAGGCATTAAGTTTCAGTTTTGTACAGTTTAAAAGGAATTCCCAATACTCTATAGGTTTCACACTCCAATAATCATATGTATTAAGTTGCAAGGTCAAATAAAGTCACCACAATATGTAACCATCAGCATTTTGAAAACAACTTATAAAGATATATTTTGCCAAGTACTGTAAATGCATTAATTATTTAATGGGTTTTAATTTCTCTATTTTCTCTGATGAGTAAAATCCGCTGAATTAAATCTGTGCGAACATATGAAGTAATAAAACTAATTGTTTTCTGACAAATTCATGAAATTAAACACGGTGAATATGCTCAAAACATCAAAATAGTGAAATTATATGTCA